TAAGCATGGGGTTGGATCAATCATGCTTTGGGGTTGTGTTGCAGCCAGTGGCACAGGGAAAATCTCACGAGTAGAAGGAAAAATGGATTCAATAAAATTTCAGCAAATTTTGGATGGTAACTTGATGCCATCTGTGAAAAAGCTGAAGTTAAAGAGAGGATGGCTTCTACAAATGGATAATGATCCTAAACACACCTCGAAAGCCACGGGGGATTACATCAAGAGGCGTAAACTGAAGGTTTTGCCATGGCCTTCACAATCTCCTGACCTCAACATAATTGAAAATCTATGGATAGACCTTAAAAGAGCAGTGCGTGACAGACAGCCCAGAAATCTCAAAGAACTGGAAGACTTTTGTAAGGAAGAATGGGCAAAGATACCTCAGAAGAATTGAAAGACTCTTGGCTGGCTACAAAAAGCGTTTACAAGCTGTGATACTTGCCAAAGGGGGCAGTACAAGATATTAACTCTGCAGGGTGCCCAAACTTTTGCAGACGCCATTTTTTTGTTTTCTGTTATTTTGAAAGTGTAAATGATGAAAATAAAATTAACTTTTGTTGACATATTATAAGAATGTCTAATCTGTAATTTGATGCCTTTTGGAGATTTTTCCATCTTTCCTTGGCTTCTTTATGCACATTAATACAAATTTTTAGCTGGGGTGCCCAAACTTTCGATCCCCACTGTACATTCAAAAGGGAGGAGGGAGGATCAGGAGACAAAATGGCTGCCAGTGTCCAGGTCTCTATGCGCACAATTGTCACAGTTGCGAATTGCCAAAAGAACCCCCCTCTTCTTAACGGGCCGAGGCGAAAAAGACCTGGGCATAACGACCATCTAAAAAAATTAAGATTATAAGATGAGGTCAGGTGAGACTCCTGCAGGCAAGCTATATCGATTTTGGAGGAGCGAAGATACTTAAAAACTGTAGTCCGTTTCTGCAGTGAGTTCAAACCTTGAATATTAAGTGACAACCAAGTGAGAGTCATGACAACAGTAAGAAAACACTCGACCATGGGGGCGCCCCAAGAATGAATTCCTCCTCCCCCCAAGGCGAACAGAAAAAAGGAAAAAAAAGAAATCTAGGAAAAAAGTTACCACCAAGACGGAGGGAACCAGAGAAGAAGAGAGAACTCCGTACACTAATGGGAGTGCTGTAAAAAAAATGGAAACACCAGTAGAATGCCACAAAGAGCAAGAGGGATGTACCACATGCATCCAATGGAACCCACGGGGCACAAAAAGCTGTACCCCACATCAGGGAATAAAAGAGGGTGGCATGTAGCACCCCCAGGCCCCCCCTCCCCCCCCCCGCACATATCAAACCATATACAGAACCCTCAAAGGCAGAGGAAGACAGTCACATACATGGAAACCAGCCACATGAGGATGAAACAGACACAATAATATAGTAACAATTGCAACATCTTGTCAAGGGGAGGCATAAAGTGAACAGGGGGTCCAACAATAATGCCCAGTCACAAACACATATAGCAAACAGTGTGTAGATGACTGGGTGGAATAATACCCCATGTCCCAGCAATGAGCACGAGGAGTCGCCCGCTCCCGGTTGCTAGCTTCTCATAACAACAGAGACCGAGCATTAACTGTTTCCAGGTTGAGACCACGGCCCTCACCATTGGGGGGCCAAAAGTCAACCGACACCCAATTGTGCTCAATGCAACCATCAACTTAGACAATAAACCAACATAGCAGCACCCGAACCAACCCAATTGAGGGCGTTGATCTGAGTAGGGTAAAATAAAAAAAAACACAGAAAAACAAGCCCCCACTCCCTCCCCCACTCACCCAGCACCTACATAAAATGAAAGGGAAAGGTCCACCCAGCTGAAAAGTTTTCAAAAAGAGGCCACTGGGAAGGCAAAAAGAGAAACAAACCAACAATAAAAGAATATAGGTCAGCCCGTTCCAACCGGTTGAGAGTGAAGCCGGACATTGCTTGGGATCTTCTGTCAGCTTCTCGATTGGAAGACCTTCTCGGGCTGTAAAGTAAACGAGGTAGAAGTGCTGATGCATTCATTGAAGAAGTCTGCGAAGTAGAGGTGGGATCTAGGAGATTAAGCTCTGACAGCATTTAAGATCAGATGGATTAAAGGCACCATATTTATACATAAAGGACAGTCTGAAGGGGAACCCCCAGCGATAACGAATATGATTGTCCTAAAGGATTTGGAGATATGGCTTCATAGATCTCTTCAAGATAGTACTTTGGGAGAGGTCAGAATAAATCTGACAGGGGTGACTCTGAAACGGGAGGGTCTTCATTTCTCTAACTATTTGCATCACCTGTTCCTTCATTTTATAATAATGGAATTTCAAAATGATGTCCCAAGGTGTGCCTTCAGGTGGGCTGCAGCCTAAGGCCTTATGTATCCTATCTAACTCCAAATGATCCACTGGAACATCATGGATTAGCTCTTGTAATACGGATAACACAGAGCCATGGAGATCTGTAACAGTCTCCGGTAGGCCCCTAATACGAATATTACTGCAACAAGCTCTATACTCCACCTCTTCTTAAGAATTCTGCCTGTAGATTCTCTATATCACCCTCATGGCCATCCAGAATTGTAGTAGCATCATCCATTCTGTGCTCTAGAAGAGCAGCCCTCTCACCTACATTTCTAAGTTCTTTGAGTAAATCTGCTGATAAATTTGCAAGAGATCTCGCCAAGTTCCTCCTGAACAATCCTCGAATCTTACCCAACAGAACCGGATTTTGATCCGTGCGGGATGGCTGCAGGGCAGAGGGGAACTGTGAAGAGCTGTGTCAACTGAATCCTCCGAGTCTCCTAAGGTGGTCTCATTTGCAGGGGGGGCCGTCAGCATCTTGGAAGGGAGCCGGCGCTGCAGTTAGGATTAGCCTGCTGCTTTGACCAGACCCGATCTGGAGAAGCCATGGCCATCGATCACAACCCCACACTTTTAGATACACGCAGAGACAGGTGGAGACTTGATGGGCTCCTTCTACTAGGAGGAAGAAGAGGCAAAGTGTCCGGAGTGAGTGGAGCTGGATCAAATCGCAGCCATCTTGGTCTGCTACGAGCATGCACCCTTCTATTTCTGAAAGCATTCTCCTTTACAGCATTTTTCACATCTGCCTAAACTTTTGCACAGTAGTGTATATAATTTCAAAACTCGTCCAAATTTGCCTTTACCTTTGAGTAGTCCCACCAAATATGCTTGAAAGCACCTACCTTTTGAGAACCACAAAACATACTGGAGAGTAAGCTGAAATTGTAGGAAGTGTCCTGAATGGGGTAATACCTGATTTCACTGAAAAATGTTTTTAAACATGACAGAGCTATGTGCTAAAGGTTGTGGGCTGGTGAAGCCCAAAGGTAACCCAGGATAGAATAATAGGTATGTGGCAGAGATAAATTTTGTCAGGTTTTCAGATGATCCCCTAGTCTCAAAAGAATGCTGGTGTCTTATAGTGCACGCTAATGTTCTTCAACGGCTGCTAAAGGAGATTGGCAATCAAGACAGGGGCTCAAAATTTGAGAAATAAACATACAAAAGCGTCAAACAAGTTGACTGCTCTTGTGGCACTTAAGCTAGGAATGCCACCTAGTAATGCCTATGAAAAAAGTGGGATTCGGTCCATCTTAGGATTTTGGTCTATGTAAGACTGATTTGGCCACCTGTAGCAAGGTACCTTCTGGACAAATTTCAAAATCATCCTTTGCAGTTCTTAAAGATGGTAAGATGGGAATGGACAGAACACAGGCAGAGTACAGTAATTTAGCAGTATTGACATCTTTACTACCCCAATCCTCCCTAGTCAGAATTTACTTGTTTAATTGTGTTTATCCCCGAAGGTCAATGAGGAACTCCGATAAGTAAACAATTTAAGGTTTTGAATGACTATGTTTAGTGAATTCCAGGTAGGGTAGCGGGGAAGGGGTCCAAGAAAAAGTGAAGGCTCATTGAAGAGAGTGCAGCACATTAGGTTGCATGGAGACATTCAGAGCCGTCAGAGTTCACCTCAAGACTGGAGTTCTGCTCAATTGTGGCTGGTAAGAGGACATTACATTTGGGAGAGAATCAGCAGATTAGATAAGGTTAGAAGGGCGTCATGAGCAAATAAAGAGATTTTGTGCTGATAGCTCACCACTTCAATCCCGTGTTTCATTGTGCAGGCAAATGTTCAGGACTGAAAGCTCAATTGCTATAGCAAACAAGGAGAAGGGATTAGGCTTACCCTGTTTCCACCCTCAAATGATACGACACCTGCCTGACTGAAATCCCAGAACATCTACGTAGGCCATCATGGAGAAGTGCAAGACTTGGATCCCGATGGGGAACAAACTCCAAGTGTCATAACAAAAAATACAAGTGATCTCAACCTTGATATCCATGGAAAGGAGTATCAAAGGCTTTTCTTTTGGCTTGCGATATGGAAGGTGAACAGCGATCCTACTCACATTGTCACCTTTATGCCTACTCAGAATGAACTCTGCTTGGTCTATGGAGAATAAATTAGGCAACACAACATTCACCCTGGGTGCAAGTAATTTAGCTAGTAATGTACTGTCAATATTGAGGGGGAACGTTTCCAAAAGTTTAGTAGTTTTGTATGGTGTGGAGAAAAGAGATGGGACACGATTTTTTTCCCACCTTTCAGTGACACTATGGAGGGTATTTACTAAAACTGGAGCCATTCTGCATAGAAACCAATCAGTTTCCAGGTTTTATTGTCATAACTTAATTTAACAAGCTGAAGCTAGAAGCTGATTGGCTACCACGCACAGTTGCACCAGATTCTGAGTACTCCCATTTTTAATAAATCTCCCCCTATGCATATGTATTATGTTTACACCACGCCTTTATTAACAAACCACAGCTGCTGTATCTAGAGATGAGCGAAGTATTCAAAAATTCGATTCGGCGAATTCGAGGAATAAATTCGATTCGAGGCGAATATATTCGCTGCGAATTTAACTTTAAAAAGGGTGTTTCTAGGCTTCAGAGAGCCTTTATATTAGTGCAGAACACTGTACCTTTAATTTAAATGCCCTTGGAGTCTGCTGGGGGAAGAGAAATAATACTGTCAGTCAGTATGACATGCAGATGAGTGCCGTCGATCTTAGAATCACCGCACACTTCACTCATTTGGGCAGTCACGGGGCCAAAACCAGAGTGTGGAGCCACAGTGTGGCGGTGGAGGCAGCAGCAATGGGAGGCCATACAGCACCCTATGACAAAATGGAACCCACCAGCAGTGTGAGGAGACCTGAAAGTGGCACATGGCAGAGTGTGGCGATGGAGACAGCAGCAATGGGAGGCCGTACAGGGACCCATGAGACACTCTGGACCTGGCAGCAGCATGAGGAGGCGGTACAGGGGCCCATGACAGATTACGGGCCTGGCAGCAGCATGAGGAGTCGGTACGGGGGCCCATGGCAGATTACGGGCCTGGCAGCAGCAATGTTAGGCCCGTAATCTGCCAGCACCCTATGACAAAATGGAACCCACCAGCAGTGTGAGGAGACCTGAAAGTGGCACATGGCAGAGTGTGGCGATGGAGACAGCAGCAATGGGAGGCCATACAGGGACCCATGAGACACTCTGGACCTGGCAGCAGCATGAGGAGTCGGTACGGGGGCCCATGGCAGATTACGGGCCTGGCAGCAGCAATGGGAGGCCCGTAATCTGCCAGCACCCTATGACAAAATGGAACCCACCAGCAGTGTGAGGAGACCTGAAAGTGGCACATGGGCAGAGTGTGGCGATGGAGACAGCAGCAATGGGAGGCCGTACAGGGACCCATGACACACTCTGGACCTGGCAGCAGCAAGAGGAGGCGGTACAGGGGGCCCATGGCAGAGTGGCGAAGCGTAAGCAGCTTAAATTGAAGGCCATACAGAGGCCTATGTTAAAAATAATAACATGTTTGGGGCATGATTCATGGCGGATTTAGTCAGTTGTGTCAGGAACTGGTGGTTTCAAATCCAGACTAATCCACGCCTGATTCATTTTCACAAAAACGTGAGTCTCTCCACACTTTGGGTGGACAGTCGTGTCCTCCGCGGAGTTACAATACCTCCTGCCGCACTAAACACGCGCTCCGATGCCACGCTACTGGCCGGGCATGACAGCCTTTCAAGGGCAAATTCAGCTAGTTGGGGCTTTTTTCCAAAGGTCAAGTTTCGTTGCCCAGTAGTCAAGGGGATTGTCTACCTCGGTTGGCAGGGGTGCTGTCCAAGTAGGCCCAAGCCTGTTGTTTGAGCTCCTGCTCCAGGTCCACCTGATGCTGCTGCGGCTGGTTAGTAGTTTCCTCACTGCGCTGGTGAAGAAAGCTACTCATCATCGACTGCAGACTGAGGCAGCCGCTGCTGGTGGAGCTGCCACTGCTCCTACCACCCCACCCCTCTCCTGCTGCCATGGCAGCGGAACGCGAGCGCACAGGGCCCACAGTGTCTGAGGATGGACGTTGGCGCAGAAAGGCAGAGACCAACTGACTACATAGGTGGTTTTTATAGTACTTTATTTTAGCCTCCCTCTCAGCAGGTGTGAAAA